GGCGACAGATGAGGGATGCTTTAAAGGTCGAACCGGCTAAGAGATAGACATGGGGGGGATAAGGTAGAGGCAACGTCCCCAGGCGACAGACACGGACCGGGAAGAGACGTACCCTTAGCTCTGGCGCAGGTGCGTAAGTACGTACACTAGACACCGACACCTTAAGGCAGGAGAGGAGAGGAAAGGTAGCACGGGTGACGGTAGGTACAATGGAACCTTGCCGCGGCGAGCAAGCAGGTACCTCCGAGACGTTGGGACGGCGGGAACGGGGAAGCGTACCGCTGCAAGGACGCTCTTGCACTTTCCATCGTCTCTGGTCTTGAGGTACGTATTCACCGTCTCTGTCTTTCTCTCTGATACGCAAAACAAGCAGGCATGGCAGGGCCCGCCGGGAAACAAGCAGAGCAGGGGCTCCCCGTCACCGCGCCTGGCTTGTCTGGGGCCAATCGCCTTGGTGCAAAATGTCTTGGGTGGATGAACCGTGAATCAACCAGATCCAGTAAGAGGCCGCTGGTCATGTGCCTCAGGCTGGTGTGGCGCGCCCACAATTTCTCCATCTCCCAAGGTCACTATGGTCACTAAGCCTCAGCTTGTTCCCCCGTTGCCTCTTTGTCTATCCCACTCCCGGTACTTCGTCATCCCCAGCTTCTCTTCTCTTCTCATTTGCTGCTATTTGCATCGTCGTCTCCTGTTTTCTGAGAAACTGGACCTCTTGGGATCTGCAATCATCACTGCGGGACACACATCCAAAGTCATTGGTTGGACGAGCAGCAAGCACGAGCATAGCTTCAAACAGAGACAATCCAGCACATCCGCATCCACATCACATCAGAGTTCTGGGCCCGGGGTTGTACCAATAAACCAAGCTTTTGCCATGGAAATGTGTACGGACCTCTTCCCCTTGGCCTTCTTGGCTACACTGCAAACTACGACACCATTTCTGTACCGAGGACCTACTCCGTCAGGTAATACGGGGTCTGGAATCTGGATCCAGAAATCCAGAAATCCAGATGCATGCACATCCTGTCACTGTTCTTCCATCATCATCATCATCACCACCACCATCGCCTGCAGGCCCAGATCCAACACAGCAACAATGATATCACACCTCATCAACTCGCTGCAGGGAAAGGAGGCCTCTGCCCTATCGGACCTCGCCATTTTGCCTCCCCCCAAGGTTCCGTCCCTCCCTCGGTCAATCGGTCAGTCGGTCTCTAGTTGTAGGCTCCCGCTCTCAACAAAGGACCACAACAACCACTGCCCATCCTCCGCCTCATCAGCAACCTCGAACCCATTGGCTCCGTCGAGCCACAGTGGATACACACTAATAAGCATTAACCTTCACGCAGGCAGGGAGGGGCAGGGGACTCGACTAACACTTGACGGAAAGTGGGATGGAATTCCTCTTCCAATCTTCCATCCCTCCCCCTCTGACTCCCCTAGGTGCTAAACAACTCTCCTCCCAGCAGAGGACCACCCTCTCCCTCCGCTCCGCCCGGACGCCAGCTGAGCCTCACAGAATGACAGAGTTGCACTCGCAAATATTCGCGTCCAATTTCGCAATCTCCTCGCGGCCTCCCATGCCAAACCCTCGTCCCAACCCTCTATCCTTACCACTGTACTCCGTACGCAGGCTAGGTCCGCAGCAGAGGTGGACAAGCACTTTCCATAGTCCAGCTCAACGCAACTACAGCCTTCAAGCACTTTACAGCAGCAGTTTCTGATCAATTAACCTACGCCACATTGACACACACCGTCCAAAAAACCAGAAACTAGCATTGTTCGAGGGCCGAAGTTGGAAGGCCGAAATGGGACATTCTACCGGACGGAGATCAAGCAAACAACCTTCTCGCTCGAGCCTCACCCACACCGATTCTTCACACACTTCTCTCTTCGATGTATTCATACTCTGTGCTCTACTTAGAAACCGAGCCACGACGGACTCTTGGACTTCTCGGCTCTCCTTCTTGCTCTTGCTCCTCTGCATCCCCAGCTCAACTCGCAACGTGCGCCAAGCATAGCCAAGGACACCGATTACAGATGATGGGTTCCGTGGTAGAGACAATCTCGAAACATGAACCGGATTCCGGACCCCATCTTTCTTGTTTTTCAGATCATGCAGTAGCGCATTTTATGTTTCTCGTTCTCCTTGCCCTTGTTGTTGATAAAACTGTAAGAAGCCTCATCAAAGGGGATCAAGAAGAAGCCGGGCCGGGCAGTCGACCCCGCGTGTCATTATCGAAAAGTTACATACCGGCCGGGGAATTTCACAGTGGCACAGTTCGAGATATGGATAATCCATAACTTTGATATCCCAAAACTCTGGAGCCAGCCGGCCTGCCGCCTTCCTGCCAAACCTGCCTTATCAATCAGTCGGGGATCACCCTCGCACCTCAGTGGCTGGCACCTCTCTCGACGACACACGTGGTCCAGGTACCTCTACGCGAGACGATCCTCCTCCGCTCCAGCGTAGTAGACTGCAGAGTTGCATTCCGCCCGGCTATGCACTCCTCTTGCGAAGTCGAAACAGAGCAACTTGGTCCAACAATCACCTTGCATCCATATTCTTTGGCATATACTCCGCACCACTTTTGACCTTTCAAAAGGATCTAAGCAGTGGATATATTATTGCAAGAGTCATGAGTCCATGACCGCTCCGTCAAGAAGCCCCAAACGGTTGAGGGCCGTTGCAAAAGAGGGCGCTCGGGGCTTCAAAGAGCGCACGGGGAACCGCTCCCAAACTTCCCAAAGCTTTTTCTTCACCCCCGGCCGATTTGACGAACATTCTGCTTGTTCCTGCCCATCGCCTTACTTTTTGCATTTTCAAAAGGTTACCGGCACTATTTGTTTCCATCCAATGCCCCCCTCCCTCCCTTCCGCTGTGCCTTCCCTTCCCTTCTCTCGTCCAACCTAATTCCTCTCCCCTACCGGCTAGACCGTTTTCTTTCCCGTTTGTCACAACCTAATTTCGACAACTGGAAACAACAACAGCACGATACTTTTCTATCCTACCCTTGTCTCTTCCTTTTTTTCCGCTACAGAAGGCTCAATGCGTACAATACGTATTCTGAATGTGCCCTTTCCCACCGGTGACGAGAAAGATACAGGGCCGTTGAAATTCAAAAGAAGCTGATCCAACTCACAACCTATTGTGCGTACGGGCGCCGAGACGCGTCATCCAAAACACCGTCCTACATCCTATGTTTGCCCATCCAAGGGCAATTCGTTTTTGGTCGTTGCGCCGAACGAACAGGGGTTCGTTCAAACGAAATTCAAGCTTCCCATCTGCGTCTTCTGCTAAATGCCGGCCGACCAATCCTACATCGTTTCTTAATTACCTGCCAGCCTGGGAGGCTAGTATCCGTAATTGTATGGATTTCGTCGATGCTTTTGATAGTGATATACGTACCTATCCTATCGAAGCGGGTGATTTTCCCACTCGCAAGCCAATGGGAACGCCACAGATGCATACCAAGCCGGCCGACACGTGCCGAGAGTGACGTCAAATTTTCTTGGGAGGCTTGTTGACGTTTGTGGCACCGGCCCATTGGCGGGTGGTGGCTATGCGTTTGTGTCCCGTACGGATGCTCCGTACCTTGGGTACGGAGTACAGATTCGACTAGTGTCCCAGTAGCAGTCGTGATGGCTGCGCCACGAACAGCCACACTTATCAAAAGGTACGGATACTGCACTAGGTGATGCCGTGACTGGACGTCCGCAGTACCACTACTCCATAGACCAAAGTGGGCCGTTTGCGAGCGTCCAGACTCCAGCGTCCAAGTCTCCTTTGCGTCGGAGCGTCGCGGCCAAGGGGGCGAGTGACAGCGGCACGAAGTGGACGGTCGTCACGGACTCACAGGCATGCGTCATGACAGTATCACAGCGTGTGACTATCTAGCAAGAAACCAGGAGCTAGAAAAGCGAGGCAAAATCCATCCGGGCTTCGAGACGTTGTGAGATCGACCCCCTTGGCTCACCGCCAAGACCAAGACCTCGTTTGCGGTCCACCCCCCCCGTCGTCATCAGCGTGACAGATCCGATGAGGGTAGTTGCGGACTCTGCGGGCTCTCAGCTTCCACTTGACGCTTTGTAAGGAGTGATACATTTACTACTTATTCCCTATCACACACACGGTGGAAAGAGTACAGATGTCCGATGTTGGGCTTCCCTACTCTCTACATGCCTTCTACTATCCCTGTTCCATCTTCTACGTAAGACGTGCATGATCGACAGACTGCGCTTCATTCTATCTGGTTCAATAATTTCACATCTCACAGGAGACTATGCGTTGCCCATCCAATGCAGCTTCAATATGCTTTCATACTAAACACTACATATCCGCAACCAGCCAGTCGATGCTAGCCAGCCACTCACTCACTACGGTATTCAACTTTCATCACACAATAATGTCAACAACTCAAACGTCGGTTCTTCTGTCTCTCTTCTCTCTCTGAATTTCTCTCTCTCACTCTCTCTCTACTTCTGTATTCCCATACGCCTTTGCCGCCGCCAGCAACCTCAATCGGTTACCGACGTGATGCCATCAAATTAGAGGGAAAATGAACAAGTTGAACCAACCAGAATAAAAAAAAGGCCCATTTCCGAAAAAGGGGTGAGGGAAGAAAAACCACCAAGCCTTCTCTGTATCTGAACCACACCCCATCCCATGAACCGACGCAATAAACACCAAACTTCCCTGATTACACGAGAGAGGACTGGAAAGAAAGAACTCCTCTCAACATTCTATGCCAGTTTCGCCAACCATGCAGCAGGCCATCAACTTCCACTAATGATGCCAAACGACTAACGTGTCCTGCTGGCTGGTATTCACACATTAAAACCTCAGAAATCTCAAAGATGAGGCGGGCACCGTCCTATAGACGTCGTCACCGCTCAACTGGGCGCGTCGGGGACAGACTCATTTGTGATGACCGGGGCCCGCACAAGGGCCGCGATCCTGAACCGGTAGATGGCGAGCAGTCGAGGGCTTCGAAAGTGTTCTACCTGTCGTCGCCACCTCTCGCTTTGCCGCGCCTGCGGAAAAAGTCCATAACTCTCTTGGCGGCTCCGCTGCTGCCTTGATGGCCACCGTACTCTGCGCTTTCGAATCTCTTATTCTTCTGTAGCACGCCAGACCGGCCATTACCGCGGGACGAGCCGAACTGCTGTCCGTCATAACCCTCAGACTCAGAGTATCCGCTGGCATTGTATGGAGCACCAGTGTGTCTTCGGTTCTGAGCATTCTCGAATGAGGACTCCGACCCAGTGTTTAGGCCAGTACCCTGCTGCATGTAGGCGGGCACTGCACTAGGCTGGCCAATTGGGCCCACGTGCTGTTGTTGTTGCTGCTGTTGCTGCTGGTAGCCTTGCTGCTGCTGTTGATCTTGCCACTCTTGACGTGACAACTGGGGAGCAGAGCTAGAGCCTGGCGGCTGTCGGTACCCCTGGTCATATCCACCATCATAACCTCGAGATTGTCCCCGTGAGTCGACGTATCTTCCATGCTCGTCAACTTCAGGGGGATCTTGGATGGGAAGGTCGGGCTGAGACTGTGGCTCAGACGGCGGACGATCGTAGTCTCTGCCAATGCCAATAGCCTTCAGCGAGAATGATTGCGGGATCAACGAGAATCGCCTATTCTGCTTCTCGTGGGAGGTCTGGGACCCAGCGATGCTACCGCTGCGTTTCTTTCCGAGACCCAAAGAGAAGGATCGCCGTGAGGCTCTCGAGTCTATCGAAGGGCGGGGCTGACCATCAGCAGGCATGTTATTAGGCATGCTGACTGGAGGGTACTTCCGGCTCTTGTCTGCGATCTGAGATTCGGGTCTCTTGCGGTTCTTACCCCCAAAGATCGACCCGTTCCGACCCAGTAGGGAGCCGATGGTGTTAGAACGCTTGTGACCATGACCTCTGCCATCGCTTGACTGAGGAGGCGTCTGGCTCTGGGCGGCTTGTTGTTCTGGGGCAAACCCGGCAACCTTGGCAAACTTTGGCGGCACGCTGACGCTGGGTCGTCCCATAGCCTGGGAATCCTGGGTAGTGGGTTGTTGAATCCTTCCATGAGCATTAGTACCTGCGACGGCCGGGGGGATTGGTTGGCCGTACGATCCACGAGCTCCAGCTCCCAGTCCCATTGAGCCTGATGCCATTGAGCCGCCAGTTTGAGGTCTTCCAGAAGCCTGTGCAGCTGGTCCTGAAGGTGTGAAGGTGTTATCAGAGGTCGTACGAGTGTCGCGAGTCGGTCTTGAGGGTGCGGCTGCAGTATTGCGGTGGGCACTAGGAGGGCGCGTGCCTTGTCGACTGGCTCTGTATGAATCTCTCGAGACAGGGGGATCTCTAGGAAGGGGTTTCTCCTGCGAGTTTTGGTTCTCCGCAACCTCTACTGGACCTTGGCTGCTCGAACGCGCTCTCGACTTGCTTCCTGCTGCAGCAGCAGCCTCCCCTCTTTGTGTCTGTGTCGTCGGCGCCACGTACTCGACCTGCACCGTGCGACGTTTGTTATCTTTGTGCGCCTTAGCTATAGCTGCTGCCTCGGCATCGGCGTCGATCTTGGCGTGTTTGCTGGCGAGACCTCCCACCGATGTCGGGGTGTTGGCTTTCGTCTTGGAGGACTCGCGAACCGAGGCGCTTCGTCCTATGCCAGATGCCTCAGCGAAGTCGTCGTCTTCGGAGGGCACCGTCGTGTTCTGAATCTGGTTGGGTGTGGTGGTGCTACTAGTAATGAACTCCACGACATGAGCGTACTCGCTCAACCAGCTGTGCCGAGCCACCTCGAACAGGTCTGCTCTTTTCCGGGGGTTGGGAACAAGGATTCGCCTGAGGAGGTCGCGAGCATGAGGAGTGACGTATTCGGGGAAGGTCAGAGGCGTGTTGACAATGTACTTGTACAGTAAGTTGATGTTGTCACCTTCGGGGTTCGCTGGATCGTCGTCGAAGGGAAGGTAGCCAGCCAACATCGCGTACTAAACTCTGGTCAGCTTACAAAATAGGCTTGCGCTGGGAAACTCGCCACTTACCAAGATTACACCGCAACTCCATACATCGACCTTGCGGCCAGTATATAGAGAATCGCTCACAACAAGCTCTGGCGCAGCATAGCAGGGACTGCCGCAACTGGTCTGCATCAGATCGCCCTTCCTTGTGCCATTGGTCTTGACTCTATCCAGTCCCAATTTCTTGACAAAGTCACGGTCGCTAAGGTTGAGTTCCTCCTCTTCGGAAAGCTCTTCCTCGGCATCGAAGGTGTTGGCGAAACCAAAATCGGTGATAATGATGTTGCGGTTCCGGTCCAAAAGCAAGTTCTCCAGCTTGAGATCTCTGTGAACAATGCCCTTCTTGTGCAAATAACCAACACCAGACACTAGTTGGGCGAACAGCCTACGCGCGGCATTGTCCTTCAGATAGCGATGGTTCAGGATGTAGTCGAACAGCTCACCACCAGAGGCGTATTCGAGAATGATACCAATGTGCCTCTCGGTTTCGACCATCTCGTGAAGGCGAACGATGTTAGGGTGAGAAATGCCCCGTAGAATCGCAATTTCGCGATAGATCTTGGCCAATCTGGAAGGGTTGTTGCCGACACTATCCCGCTTGATCAACTTGATAGCGACCTGGTGACGAAGTGTAAACAAGAATCCCGAGGCATGTCAGCGGGTCGTTAACTTACTTGCACATTGTTATCGTTCTTCCAGCCAAGCTTTACTTTTCCAAACTCGCCCTCACCGATGGTATTTCCAAGAACGTAGTCGCCAAACCTAACTACCTTCTCACGTTTCCCGGAATGATCATGACGGCTTCTGCCTCCACGTCTGCCGTCATCATGCTCGGACATACCGATCGGGGGAGGTGCGGCGTCATCATGTGATGATCCTATGCGGGTAGACTGAGCTTCTGCTAGTCGTTCCTTCTCGCGAGCGATGTCTACTTCGGGCTGGGAGACCACCATTCGATTGAGAACCTCGCTTGCTTCGCGCGTGGGCTGCTTTGGTGATGCTGTTGTCTGAGGTGCATGTGATCGTACGGGAATCACCGTCGGCTGACTCCCAGGTCGGTTGCCGCTAGATCGATGGGGAGAATCAGGAGGCATTTGTTGATGCGATCTTCTGCTGCGTGAAGCAGAACCGTCATCCGAGTAGGTATAATCGACATTACCATTCGTTCCGTCTGCTTGACCGCGTCGCGGTGACGATGCCGCCTTCTCGGCAGCGTGATCGCGTCTTTTCGTGGTGGTCGTAGTGGTAGTAGCGCCCGAATAATTCGTCGAGGACGTTCGAGGGGGGGCGACTGGGGGCATGTTTCTTCGTTGTTCGGAGGATGAGGATTGGTAGTCTGGGGAAGAGGGCGCGACGGCGACGGGGCTGGCGGGGACAACTCGGGACGTCATGGGCGAAGTTGGGTCCTGAGTGTTTACAGACGCGCCGTTTCCGCTCGGTCGGCTCGGAGGGCGTTGTGACGATGCAGGAGAGGCAAAGTTGTGTTGCAAATTGGCATTGTACGCCTCGCGAGATGGGGAAGAGTGGTTCGACGTGTACTGCCGGCTGCTCGGTGAGGCTGCGACCAAAGGCGGTGATGCCAAAGCTGTTGTGTGATGGGCAGGCTGCAAAGCGGCCGAGGATATGCTTTTGCGACAGTGGAAACGCAAGCGCGCAAGGAAATAGAGTTCGACTGGGCGGCGGTCCTAGTCTGGCGTGTTTTGGTCCCGCGATTGTCGCTAAGATGTCGGTCTGCGATGTTGGTGCGTTTTGGAAGGGGGTCAAGGGAGGCTGGTATGTTGGCGGAGAATTGAGAAGCGAGAAAGAGGTCCGTAAGCGAATGCTGTTCAGCGAGGTAAAGTTGCTCGCTGGGCACCAGGTTTCAGGACGCTGGAATTATTGAGCTGCAGGAATTAATTCGCCCTGAATTGGTATGGGACGGACAAGCCCGATTGGAGGTATTAGGGTCCTTGGATAGGCCGTGTTGTGAGTGTCTGGTGTACCAATGAATTGGGCCAGTCTATCTCATGGTGTGGGCGGAAGGGGTCAATTGTTTTCTTCCCCCCTTGGCTGATGGTTGCGATTTGTTGTTTACTGTAGCTCGACCCTGACGAAATGTGTCGGCGACGATCGTTTTGGGGCGGTAAAGTCGAGTCGAGTCAATGCAGCAACAACACTGGGAACAGTGACGCGACAAAGGGGCAGTGGTGCACGTACACACTCTGCTGTGGTGAAAGGCTGTGCGACGGATTGATACCTATGGCTTTGAACCTTTGTCCTTTGACACCGTCTGAGACCAGACGGGGGTGCAGACAGGAGGAAGAATGAGCGGTAGGAAAACAGTTCCAGTCAGTCGTGTCGGTGAGGTGACCCTAGTCGAGGGTCAAGAGGCAGGCTGGATGCAGTATGGCGGTCGGAAACCAGTATGTTTTGATTGGAACCAATTGCCTTCTACCGAACCACTCAAGTCTTATCTGGTCTGGCTGGAACGATCAGAGGGAGCTATCGCCAGCAGATCGAGAAGAGTATGACGATAATGAGTGCGGGAGGCCCGAGTCTGATTGTAGGCTTTTTGTCGACGGTTGAAGTTGTCGATGGCGCGCTTCTCTACCTCGGCGGGCTCGAAACTAGAGGCAGACTATCGGAGCGAGTTGGATCGCCGGTCAGAAAAACAACACCAGACACGGCCAACGCAGACCAAACGGAGACGTTGGCGCAGCGAATCCAGGTACAAGTGGGATGAGGTAATGCGCGGTGAGAGCCCAAGTTGGACTTTGGGAGCGAGAGGCGGTGGAAGTCGAGATGTGGAGGGCGATTGAGGGCGAACCAGTCCAGAATGAGAGAAGAGAGACAGGCGGGATTGGGAATGGGCCTCGTCTTGGCTTCTTTTTTTTTCCTCTTTTGTTTTTTTGGCGAGGGAGAGAAAGAGAGGAAGAGAGAGATAGTTAGGAGGAACGGACGGTCAGACGTCTTCGTGCTCGTCAGAACGAAATTGAAGAGATGAGACTTAGGACGAGCTGGATGGAGCCGGTCCAAGGTTGGAGACTGAGTGCGCCCGATATTTGGAACAGCGCGCGCAATGAGGAACGGAAGCACAAGAATTGGAACAGACAAGCCCCAGGTCGCTGGTCAGTCAGTCAGTCAGTCTCGAAAAGAGAGGAGAGACGTCAAGAGAGTGGGTGTGAGTGAGCGGGCGGCGGGCGCGAGAAAGGCAGACAGAGAAAGCGCGCGATTGAGAGATTCCCTGGTCGAATACCTTACTACGTACTCCGTACCAAGGTAGGCCCCCGGGGGTATCGTGTACTTGCAGGGGTGAGGTGCAAAGCAACTTGTAAGTATCGCCCAGGGAAAGTGAAGGCGGAGATGTGCGTGGGCCTCAGGGGAGAAAAGCGGGAAAAAGGGAGCAGGTGCGGTACATGCAACTAGGGACGGAATGCAGGTACCAGATACTCGCTAATATCCGCTAACGCTGCCACTACTGCGACTGCGACTGCGACATGCAACCGCGACTGATTGCTTCCTGCTTCGTGCTTTCGTACTTGAGTGCTTCGTCTATGACACTCCTTGCGCTGCACACTGCAAGTAATGGACGTGGCAGGAGAGGCGCAGGTGCCAGAGTAAGATACTGCGTGCTGCGAGGTACCTTGGCTGATAGGTACCTAAGGTAGGTAGAGTCGTCCTCGCCGGCTAGATGTGAGGTGAGATCGAGGCCAAGGGAAGGTGAGGTACCTTGAGGTAGGATTCCGTCGAGCTGAATTGAGCCGAACCGAGAGAGAGAGAGAAGAGACGCAGCACTGTTTCCGCCTCAACTGAGTGGATGACCGTGACCACCTTGGCTGGGCCGTATTGATTGTAGCAAGAAAAGAGCGAGGAGATGCCGTCTCGTTAAATTATCTCACTTACGGCTGTCCAAGCACCACCAATTTTCCAGAGGGCCGGCGCGGATTGTGGCCAGTGGGCAATTTGTCGTTTCTTTTCTCCCTTGGTTGGTCTTTTCCTTGGTTCCAACTTCCGTGACCTTTCTCGGCTTGTTCTGCTGGCAGTCGGCAGCTGTCCCGAGGGTCAAGGTAGGCATTCGTCCCCAATAATCACCTCAATGCAGCGGCGCCGGAATGGACTGATGTCCCCTTTCGTATTCAAGGTAGGTAGGTATCAAGATGAAGTTGACGTGCGGGGCTCAGATGGGAGAGTCGAGACCACAACTGTCTACGTCTAGCGTCTAGTGTCTAGTACCTACTGCCTAGTGATATAGTTGTACTCCGTAGTCGAACGATAAATCATCTTCCACCCAGTCTGACAACTGTCGCAGACGGGTAGGTATGCTTCGAATTGGCGTGTCTGACTTAACGTCTCAGCCCAGAGCAGTGCAGAAGCCTGTGTAAGTCAAGAGGAGGCTTTGAACCTTTGTGTACCTCAAGACTCAAGGCGCGGGAGCAGGAAGGCGTTGCACAAGAGCCGAAACGTGGTTGTGGGTGTGGCTAGTGCGGATGGTGGTGCTGAGAACTTGCACCGGCGCTGGCGCCGTTTCTGAAATTTTGCAGCTGTTGATTGGTGTCCCACTTCCTCGTACATGTGAATGTGGAAGGGAGTGGCTGGAATTCGATATCAACCAGCTTTGAGGCCCAATGCAAATGACACGCACATACATACCTACTCCGTACACTCAATTATTGTTCAGAAAATACGTGAATGATGAGCGATACTCGGATGGGAGGGAAAGAGGAAAGGAAGAATGGGAGCAGGTATGGCAAAGCACCTCCGGTAAGGTACCGCAAGGTACGGAGGAGACGGAGACGGGTGGCGGCGGAGAAGGAAGGAGTGATGCAGCATGTCGCACCTGCCTCGTCTATCAATTCTTCCTGTCCGCTCCTTCCCTCCACTCCACTTCTCAGCCAAACCGGTACCTGCCCACTTCACTCAATAGAAGGAGGTTCCAAGTTCCTTCCTTGCCTGACATACCTTACTGCCTTACCCTGTCGCATGGAACATGAAGTGGATGATTTCTTCCAAACATCATCTCTGCAACTCACCTTCTACCGGATCCTACTATGTTCTGCTGTCTCAAGGATGCAAATCTCTACCAGCCGCTTTAGCTGCTCTAGCTTCTCAAGCACGCTGGGATCTGCCCTCGGCCTGACGATTGACGTGACACCCGAACCCGACTTCACCTGAAGCTCGAGCTCTCTCCTCGACAACTCAGACGCTGTTTTCCAAGGAATCTAGTCAGCATGAGCACAACGGCAGCTGACGGGCTCTCGATGCAACAGACTAATTGGCCCATTGGGTTCGTACGAATAGATCAAGCTGGCATCGAGCCTCCAATTCGTGACCCACTTCGTTCGAGAAGACTGAAGGTTCCCGCTTCGCACGCTCCGGCAACTTAGCAACACTCCAGCTTCATGCCCAACCCCATGTGCTTCGTTTTTGGAGATGGGATGACCCCTCGACAAGGGTTATCGAGGATCATGCACCCCATCTACGAATATCTGCCCGCTGTAAGCTCACGTCTTTTTTTTTTTTTCCTCTCTCTTCATCTCTCTCATTCTCTCCAACCAAATGACTGAGCGTGCGCCTAGTTTGGAAAGGTCAACATGGTGTCAGACAGCAGTTCGCCGTCCGAAAGCAAGTTGGCTACTGGCCGTCAGTTCCAATCTCGACGCCTTCCACAAGTCATCGCCTGCGGGGCGAGATGCGATGCATGGTGCCGAGCGTGGTTGGCGTCGCCCGCAGTGGCACGCAGATGCAACTTTTCCCACGATTCATGCCCAGCACCAATTAATCGTCAATATCTCGAAGCCTCTACGACCGAACCGCATTGAGGGCAGATGCCCTTTCCTTATGCAGCAGTAAACTACAGAAGCTACAGAGTCGCATCACGATTTACCTTTGCGTTTAGTCGGCCACCGTCAAACGAAACACCTCTTACCCCTGCTGGTGGGCTGGGCATCCAGGCGATAAAGACCGGGGTATCGACATGGTCCAGGGGTCATGTCGTTCTGACTTGTCATCATCACCAGGACCAGCTGCTGCCGCACCACTGCCCAAGCCGGTCGACTGTCCTGATCCTCCCGCAACGATTTGGATTTCGTCCGATTCCGTCCCATCCTCCGTGTCCATTGTTGGCCAGGAGCTGTACCGGTAACTTGTATCTCCAGTCAGTCAACTGTACCACGTTCTTCTGCCTCGTGCATTTTGGTGCAAACGCGGCTCTATACAAATACTCAGACGGACAGGATCGTCCTGTGAGCTGCGGCATAATTAATTGCAGATGGCTGCTAGTTTACGCGCTTGAGACCGCAGCGAGGTCCCTTGCATTGACGTGGCAGGCTGCATTTCTCAAATTACCGTCCAGAACCTGACTGGCTGGCGGGCAGTGTCTGCGAGACCGGACTGTCGAGTTCCCCTCGCTCCTCAAACGACGGATCGCGCGTTTGCGCATCGCATGTCATTTGGCAGTGCTCGCCTCCCCACACATCCATCTTAATGTCGTCGTCGCCATCGCCTTCGCATTTTACTGAATCTCCAATATTTATGCGCACCAAGCGGTTGGATCTGATGGCGCATGGCTCAAGGGCGAGTCGAGGTTCATTCACCCACGAGGTTACCCAAATATCACGCAGCATCCCTTGCCTTAACGAAGTTACCTTCATCTTAATACTTGACTGGCTCACTCGGCGGCTATCCTCAGCCATCGTCAATGCAAGGTACGCACGTATTCGAATCTACCTTATTCCACCAAGCTTCTGGGTCTTCACGCTTCACTCTCCAGCTTACTCACCCTTGTCATCAATTCACTCCATCTTGATTCGCCTGTCTCATTGTAATCAATCATCGCAGACCTTCTATCTACTTGTATACAGGCGTTCCATCCTCGTGGAGAGAATTCCATTTCGCAGGCCCCAAACGAAGTAGGCTCCATTCCACTTCAGACTATTCACTTGTCTTTGCCATTGGAGATCTCCTCCATACGCATGTTCACTTTGGAGCTTAACCTTACGCCTACCCGCGGCAGATTGGTGTTGTATGCGAACCAAAGCATTCTGATATTTCGCTGATTGGTTGCGATGCACCACACTGAACAAAGCCCAGCCGTTTGCTCAGCTTGTCAAGCCCAATACAGAGCTGACTGAGCCGATTTGCAATGACCAAGTTCTCTGAGTAAGGGCAGTACCGATTTTCAAGGCGAATACCGTTTGCTATGTCCTTATGAAGGCGCCAATGGTTTGTCTGCTCAAAACCAACTTGCAAAGACGACCAAGGTCGCGTCCACCATCTAGCCAGCATTAACATCGGAGATGAGGCGCACGGCGTTTGACCGGGGTCTGCCTGCGTCAGCCCAAATACAACCTGTCCGTCATGAGCAGGCTGAACTTCTGAATCTCTACTTGTTAGCCAGCTCAAAATGCCCCGGCTCGATCTGCCAATTTAGTGGATTCAGGGCTGGCCGCAAGTCATGTCACTTGGCACCTTTAAGATTTGCGTCCCCAAGAGCACTTTCGCATCCTGAAAAAATGCACGTGCTGATGAGGAGGGGCTTGTCAAATGTCGGCCAACTTCTGTCTTTCGAGAAGTTTGACTGCCCAAAGACCCTCTCGGTCAGGTCTTTCCGAATGGTCACCCCATGATCATACATCAGTCAATTAAGCCAAATTGTCATTCGTCTCCCCCGGTTCTGGAGCAAGCGAGCTGCCCCATCAAGAAGATCAGCCCGGGACAGCCCAGCCAGACTCGGCACTTGGGCCATTAATACCACGGTGGACATGTTGTCCAGTGACATCATATTGGGGTTTTCGCGGACTATCGTCCGCTATTTCAGTCAAATACCAGGCGAACGTAGCCTCCCTTCTATACGGAATACAATCACCAAAACTGTCGTCAAACCAAATTCATCGACAGCGAAGGATAAGACCCTTTGGGCAGTGAACAACGAAGACGATGATGAGGGACCACATGATGGACGACCACCAGCGACGACTCCACGAACAAACAGTAGACGAGCCCACTCATCAAAGGCTCGGGAAATTCGCGAAAAAGGCGCGACGCGTCTTATTTAATCTCACAGAACTCCGTCCCAGTCCCAAACTCCATCTTCAAATAACCCATTACCCAACTTCAACTTGGGCCATGCGGCCCAATCCATGATCTCCCCCCAAAGGCCAACAGGGACGACCCCGGCTGGTTCGAGCAAACACGTTGACGAACCACCCGTATCCGGACATCGGATTCCTGCCCAGGGATCTTTCGTGTGCCGACCCAAATGTGTGTTCCGCAGGGCCGCACCAGCGTACGTATCCGTAGGGTCCGTAGTTAATCACTCGGCAGAAGGGGGAAACGGGAAGTAACCCACATCCGAGAGAGAAAGAGAGAGAAAAGTCCACGCGTTCGACTATGCGAAAGTAGTGTTGGTCGGTATGCGGAATTCCGTCCAAACGGGGTTCCCGACGATCTCGAACCAACCAGCCGGTGACCTGGACCAAGTTTTTGGTAACCATTTTGTTGTTGTTGTTGAAATTTTCCTGTTTGCCTCTCGCCTCGCCTTGCCCATAGCCAGCCTTGTTCTCGTCCCAGTGCCTTCAGTCTGAGCTCACCGAGTATTCTAGAAGATTTCCAAAGAAAACCCCGGCGGTGTGGATCGAGGGACAAACCCGTCAATGCAACGGATCCGCATGCCTGGTCAACTCATTCGAAGAGCAATACCAAAGTCACGCCCAACCGAGGGTCTTGCCAAAAAAAAAAAAAAAAAAAAAAAAAAAAAACCCAGGGGGGGGGGGGGGGAACAAAAAAAAAACAAGCAACCCACCCCACGGAAAACAAACACAAAAAAAAAAAAAAAAAAAACCCCACAAAAAGAAGAAAAAAAAAAAAAAAAAAAAAAAAAAAAAAAAAAAAAAAAAAAAAAAGAGCTTTGTCCAGACTGCAGCTGCCAAGCTGCGAGAACTTTGAAGCTTTGTCCACGCCGCGGTGATGGCTTTCTCTTTTCTTGCTAGCAGTGAGATTTTTGCTGTCGTACCACCGGAATGCAGCATGATTTGTCCAATCCAACAGCCTCGGGGGAGAGGTCCATTTGGGAAATTCTTTGATGTCAGACTGTAATCACTCAGCTGACTGTCTGCGGTTTTCCGGTGGCTCCGTCTTCATAGCCCGTATCCTCCGGGTTTGTCGGGCTTCTAAGTCTCTTGTCAGCAGCGACCGCCTATCTCCATGGAAGTTTATCGGATGCCTCGCGGCTTGGCCATCCTCGAACAACCTGCCGGATCCGAACAGGTGTTGATGTAGTGCCTCGATGAGACATCGTCTACCCGGCTTTCTGAGCCAGTATCACATGGAGGGTGAGATGTTTGTAGTCGTGTAACTCGAAATTTTATTTCGACATCATCTATAGTTTGATGGAGATATTGAATTCGTCCAGTCCGAGAGCAATAGCCGTGATTGCTCCACTGTACGCAACCAAGATGCCCATCGTTGCCATGGGTCCAACATTCAGTGTCGGCACCGTCATGTTGACCAGTCCCGTCAAGACGTTTGCGATGAGGAACAAGAATAGGCCGTTGCGATTGTAGGCCCGGAATACCCTACTGGTCGCTGTATGGTACGCCTCCTTCTCGGTCTTCGCGTCAGTCGCATTGTAGAAAGACGGGAAGCAGAAAGTGTCCACTAGGGCATAGGCTAGAAGTTGTGTCGAGTTGAACGCCGCTGTCCATAGGACATAGGGCAGGTTCGCGAGGCGACGTGAAACGTTCAGACCGTCGCCGTAGCTGTTGCTGGTGGTCAAAAAGTAAAGCCCTGTCCACAGAGCAGACCAAATGGCCATCATCATGAGAAGAGTCTTGCGCTGAGTAGCGGGGGTGGAATCGCTTTTGGTGTTGAGACTCCGAGGCAAGACGTACATTCCCGTATCTTGTCCCGCAAGGAAGATAGCCAGGTAGCCGAAGAAGCTGAAGATCCCCTCTCGGTTCTTTGAGAATAGGTCGGTTCTCGGTGCGGTCAGGATGTAAGCCTTGAGGTCGGTGCTCTCCAGAGCCACCTGATACAGCACACTCAGGATGATTGCCAGAGCGGCGTAACTAGGCACAACCTTGAGCGCGGACTGGAAGAGGGCAACAAACGGCGGCAGGAAACCCAGGGTGAAGAAGAAGTTCCAGTGAACGCCATACTCGGTGACATGTTCGGCGTAGTCGAGACCCTTGACGCTGAGCAAGCGGATGACGCCCAGGACGAGTAGCGGTAAGGAGTGGCGCATCGACTGCAGCAGACGTGTCGTCAGGGGTATCGATCGACCTTCGGCGCGCTCTTTCAAGACGGGCCGAGCAGCGACAACACCGGCGCTGAAGACGAAGGACCCGACGCCCATGTCCATCAGTGATGTTCCCCATGTCTCGACCTTGGCGAAGCGGCGCGGAAAGAGGCGGAAGTCGACGGCGAGGATGGCGATGCAAGTGATGACCAGCATGCTACCCCGGTAGTGTGTCAGGAAAGGCTTCACGGGCAGTGCGGAGAGCGGCCCCGCGCCGGAGCCGGCCTTGGGCTTCGCATTGGGTGGTATGGCGGGCTTCTTGCGACTGGCGCCGAAGTTGGGAGGCAGAGTGTAGATGAATACGGCGGGACCGAGGAGGAGGGCGCAAAGTAGCAAGGGGGAGGAGGCGTAGAGAGTCGTGGAGAGGAGGATGGCGGTGACGTTGAGGAGAAAATCGGCGGCAGCTCCCAATAGCGTGTAGGGTTTGAAGAAGGATTGGCGTGATTGGAGTACAGACCACAGCAGGACGGCGACCTGGAAAGGAATGCGAATGTCAGCACTTTGCTTTGTCTCGATGCATGCGCTGGGCGGGGGCGCCTGGGACGTGAAGGGGGGCGGCAGCAGCAGCAGCAACAGGGGGATCAGGAGATCAGGAGGGCAGGTCAGAGTTTCTGTTCAAAGAAGATAGTTACGCACGGGAGCAACTGCAGTCACGTAGTTGACTTCGGAGGCGGAGCCACCAGAGAGATTGGAGACAAAGTCTTCCTTGAGCTTCTTGTAGCTCGCGGCCGTAGCGTCGGACATGTTTGCGATGGGTCGAAAGAGAGTTTGGTTTCTTTAGTGGGAAATGTTCAATGCATGTCCAAAGAGAAGGGAATGGTTTTGACGACAGCAAGCATTGCTTTTACCCGGTTCAGCGAAAAGAACAAGCTGTTCGTTGTTGCTCTTTCGGCGATGTGGTTTTTACCGGTAATTGCAACGTCAACCTTTCCTCGACGTTCTTTCTCTGTTCTCTCCATCACCGGGAAAAAAGACGAGACGAACTCTGGCCAGAAGGAGCAGCGGGAGCTTGGTGTAGGTGGTCCAAGCTCCTTCCATTGTCTACCTCAAGTGTCCCAGACGAGATACGTACCTTTATTGCCTGACTGATTATGTAAGAATTGCGAGGAGACGGGCAGAGCCAATGAACAGCTCCTTCCGTAGCACCGTGTGGGTTCTGGTCCGATGGCTTCGGAGGCACGGAGAGGAAGGAAGGGGCTTACGGCATACCTGACGCAGAAATCCCCCTGTTGTCTCCGTGCCTTCCGCTGTCAAAGGAAAGTTCGGGGGGACGGGGCAAGCTTTGGAAAGGCACAGCTCAACCGAAGGCAGACACGTCACAAACATGGGCATTCCAGGAGCTTCCTCCGAGGCATCTTTCTAAGCTTTCCTTTCATGATTTCTATCGTCGTTGTCGTTTTTGTTGTTGTTGTTGCTGATCATCCTGTTGTTGTCTCATCCCTCCATGTCTCCCACGCACACGACGCATTCCACGCATCCATCCATCCATCCCATCCATCCGCGCAAATCAACCAACCAAACACCCGAATCTCTTGTCTTTGCCAGACTGGCACCTCTTCATCCGTTTGTCAGCTCCATTCTTCGCCTCCCCCCTCCACCTTTACAGTCTTTCCAACCCATCACAAATCGAGATCTGAGATCCCAATTGCTGGCTGTCATCGTCTTGTTCCACCGTTTCCCACTTTTCGCCATCACGGCCGCAACCATCTCCCGCTGTGCCAAACTTCCAAGACATATCGACGCCGTTGATGTTCCAACTCCACACTTTTGCAGTTTCGCCCCCGGCCTCACTGCGGCATTCATCCCAAGCCCAGCTCTGCATGGAAAAGATGGGTACCCTTTGGTCTGAAGACAGTGCTATAGCCTCACAACTTACACATCCGTGTCGGTAGTCTTGAAACTTATTTACAGCATTTACAGCTACATGGACAGATGCAGCTACGCCAAGTTCGACTGGTGCGAGTGCGAGTGGAAGTGGAAACGCAAGTGCAAGTCTCAACCCAGTCACCGCACCCCCTCCAGCTTTCAAGTGTTGGTTGGTTGCAGTCTTCTTGCTGCTGCTCTGGCTGCCACCAAGTATCAACCCCCGGACCGAAAGTCCTGGATCTGGCTGTCTACCAAGAGAGAATGAGAGGCGGGCAGAGCAATAGGAACTGCTTCTATGCGTCGAAGCCAACAACCTACGCAGTACACCCCCAGGCCTCAAGGTGGCAGGGAAGGAAGATGCATAGTGGGCCAATAGTATCGCCAGAAACATGACGAATCAAGGCCCAGACAAGCCACATTCCTTTGTTCTCCTCTGTGTCCATCTGCAGACGTTCAACTTCAAGCCTGCCATGTCCCATGGGTTTGCTTCCGACAACCCAACCCACACGCCTGCTAGCTCATCCCCTTTGTTCTCATATGCAATGAGTGACATGGGCATGGCTGTTGGCCGCAACCGCTCATTGTCACTCCATGCTTTACGACCGCATTCCTCATTACACTCCCACCTAGGCTTGCCGGGCCCAAAGCAAAGATTGCAGCCGCCTTCTTTGCACACCCTTTCTCTGTCAGTGACAGTCTGTCAGTCTGTTCTTCTTTGCACCTTGCCTGCCTTTCTTGTCTTCTTTGAGAGAGACAGAGACCTACCGTACCTACCAGTCCTTTCATTTTCTGATCCCGGCAGTTGCTGCAAGTGCCCTTTTTCTTTTCTGGCTCCTAAAGAAACTGGTGGGCGAGAAGTTCAAGACTTACAGACTGAGGTGGCTCACAAGGTCTTCCGCAAAGATATTAATTAACCCTCTTCGTCCCTCCATCCACCACAGACATAAGAGAAGCTCTTCTCCCTTGATCAAATCCCTACAGGGCTGCATACTCTTGACTCTCATCACCGCCATCCCATCATCTTGGTTGCACATCCCGATCTTTGGGCCCATTCATTGTTACTCGAAACCCTGACTTGAACACTTCCTTCTTCAGTCACCACTTGATATATCTTACAAGGCATTCACCTCTATCACTATCATACATCGCCATGGCTACCCCAATCGAGAGCCACCCTCGGGCAAGCCTTCACCCACTATGGACACCTTCATATAACCAAGGAGGATTCCCTCGTTCCTCGACTTCAAGCAGACCTACTGCTCCTAGCTCGTATTACAGCCCATCCGATCGTTCACCCAAAAGCCTGCCCACTCCGGTATTTCCTTCCAACGATGGCTCAATGAGACAGCATGAGCGCGCCATGGTCGACCGCCTCGGCTCCAGACTCCGACAAGCTCCAGGCTCCGGTGACCTTAGCCCGCCCAAGTCAGCAAACCGGCCGAGTCCGCTTTCTCCTCTCGCAGAGCACTCAGCAAGTGACGGTAGACGTTATTCGGCTGCGCCTATAAGCCCTCGCCGGCCAGGTCCGCCGCCATCAGCAACTCCGGTCTCACCACCTATGGCTAGCAGTGTTCGAAGGCAGACTCTCGCAGCGGAAACTCGATCGATGCTTCTCGCCGGTCTGGGCGAAGAGGCACAACGACGACAGTCTGTAGCAGGACCCGGATACGTCGCCAGGTCCAGGGAGGCTGAGAAGCGCGTTCAACTTGAGCAGCTACGAGCATGGGGTCATGTGTATCTTGGTGATGCCAAAACCTCCGACGTCTTCGTTCAAGCTATGTCTCTTAATCGTCGAAGCTCCAATGCGAGCACCAACTCGGATCAATCTGCTGGAGGTTCTTCGCCTCCACGAATGCCGTCCACGCCGACTCTCCCACCTCACCAGCGTCAAATGAAGTTTGGAGTTCGTCCTCGAGCTCTGGAACGCAAGCCGATGCTCATCACTCACACTTTCGACATTGAGCAGTTACGCTCCACCATCGCGGACCCGTTGCCAAGTCCTGTTCCCGCGGATCAAAGACGGCGGCCATCTCTGCATACTCAGGCCACTTCACCGCTGCCAAAGGTCTCATCTCCTCGACCGAGCGCGGCACGAAGACGGTCGAGCAGTGCAATCCACAGCACGCTCCCTTACAGCCGCGGGCTAAAATCTGGAGATCCCCGCGCGGCTTCATCGCGTGGCGCCGACACTATACCAATCCGTAAGTCATGTCTTGCCTAAGTTTATCCCCTCTGACGTTTGCGGACTTGAACCTTTTCGGCAATAGCCTCCAAGGCCGGCTCACTCCTACCCGAATACAAGGCAGGGAAATCAAGGCTAACACCCAACCCACCCACAGATCTCCAATACGCCAGGTCCTCACTCCCGGTGTTGGCGGCTATCATCGTCTCTGGTACAGTCCAGGCTGGCGACGTTGTCGAGTTGCCATTACCGTATCCCGAAGTGTGGTCCCAAACAGTCACCTATGTCTACACGGGACAAGGGGACTTGACGGATGCAGTCAAAGAGAACATCCTCTACCTTGCAGGAAAGGTTTAACGCCCACGTCTTGGCCTCGTGCTTGTTTAACGACTTATGACTCTTATTTCTTTCTTCTCTCCCACTTGGACGCCTTTTGTCGACGAATGCGGCACTCTGTATGCCTTGCTCATTCCATGATCACACGCTTTATTGGGGGGGTTAGCGATCGCTGCGGGCCGTTTGCCTTGTTGTTCTTCTGTTCTTCAACACTCCTTTGTCCTCTGCTCTCGGAGGACATCTTGTTCGCTATACAACTTTAGCTCTTTGCCCTCGTCATGACTTATGTAGTTTAATGATTTCCCTTTACAATACAGAGAGAACAGATTTATTGTCCATGATTATCAATGACATATTACAATTCGTGTTTTCCAACCTAAGTGATTACGAAGATTCTGTCTGCGCGCTGCATACCTCGTGAGCCGCGCGCCTCGAAAGAAACTGATTGCATTCCTGACAAAAAAAACTCAATCTCGCCAGGCCACGAGTTTGACAGAACAGCCACAACTTTGTCAACGACCGCCCTATCCGCTCTTCATTCCGCGTCCCGCCGAGACGGGCACAAGGGAGGAGTTACCTTGTTTAGGGCAAAGCATCTTTACGTCCGCAAACGTGGGGTTGGGGTTCGGTGTGGAACCCACCTCAACATACGATGGAGAACGCCCACGAAGGGGGGGGGGGGGGCAGCACGGAAGGAACTTGTTGAAAATCTTCCCGCATCTCCGTCTCTTTGACGGCTATACACATGACGCTCCTGGACATCGCTGCGAAAGGGATTTTATGGTGGTGATCAACCCTTGTCAGCTGGAGTCTGCTTCGTGAGGGCGGTGGGGTTGCCGAGACCGACGTTGACAACGAGTTTGGTACCGGCCGAGAAGGACGACGTTTTCATGTCTTCGCCTCCCCATCCTCCACCTCGTGTTTGTTAGTATCGCAATAACCCTGTCGGTATTTTTTTGTTCTCGTTGGTTGTCTCCGATCTTATTTGATCACTCTGAAGAAAATCTCAGTCTTTGATATTTCCTAGGGTTTCTTGTTTTGTTTTTATACACACTCCCCCTCCCCCTTCCACCCGTGGGTACGCGTATACCCATCCAAACCAAGCGCTGAGGCCGGCTACTCTTGCCAAAGTTTTCCTTGGAGCGTGGTGTCGATCTTGGACTCAGATCGCGCGGCGTAATCTCGTTCATTTTTTTCGGGACCTTGGCAAGCTTGGTTCATCAAAATGTCCGGTTAGTTGTTGTCTATCCTGTCCACTACCGGTAGAATCGTCGCCTTTGACGGGATGGGAAAAAGCTGTCAGACGGAGAATCCTCGGGTTCAGTGACAGAGTGGCATCAACATGCCTCAACTTTCTTGGCCTTGCGGGCTTTCAGCCCGGGTGGTGCCCGGCAGGCAAAGCTTTGGAATAAACTATGGTAGCACGGCCACGAAATGGGAGGTTACGGCAGTTGTCGCTTCCGAATTCCCCTCCAAGCCTTACGCCTCAAGCCTCAAAACTCAAGCGGCAAGCCCTCTCCTCTCCCATGGGTCCCCAGATATCCTGTGTGCAGAAGTATGTTGGTAGGACAAAGGCGGCAAGGCTTTTTTTACTCCCAAGAAAAAAATGTCTTTCCACCACACGGAGAAATACCGAAGCAGAAGGGTAGCAACCACCCTTCTTTTCTTGTGCGCTTATAACTACTCTCCATCACTGGCTTCTCGTCACCCGAGAACTCCCCCACTCGGGCCTTGTGTAACCGTCCGACTTCTCGGCAAGTGCGCGTGTGTATGTGGGTGCGTGGATGTGCGCGTATCTCACTATTCGGGCCTTTCGATGACGTGGTGTGCTGAAGGCATCCTGTCTGTTTTCAGCATATCAGACAATGTTTTCGTTCTCCATCCTCTTCTCCCCCCCCCCCCCCCCCCAAATCCTTGTTTTCTTTTCCTTAGATCCTCCTCGGGGTCCTTTTGTTTCTCTGTCTTGTCTCTGGCTGTCTGGGCCACCTCGTGGTTGCAAAACTTTACCAAAGTGGCAAGAACAGTTGTACTCACGTGTCCGATGAGCCACCACTGACGATGTCCGGATATGGTAAGTCTTTCTTTCGGAGGAACGGCGGGGCAAGAAAGGTTTCGGAAGTTCCGCTGGTGGGTTCCGGGCCGCGTTTTCGGTTACTCGGTACCAGTGCCGTTGCGGGGTCGATGTGAACGGCAGAAAGGGATGGGGCGGACAGCGGGGACGGACAGATGGGGACCGGTTCCGGGTTTGGCCACTCCCACCTCCGTGCCCGGAACCGGCTTGGAGACCCTCTTCCACCGGCTTAAATGAAGAAATGAGGACTTTCGACTTGGTGCGCAACGGGTACTTCTCTCAAGTTGAAGGTCAAAGAATGAGAACTTCAGCAGAGCTTTTATGCTCATTGTAATGTCACAATTTAGTCGTCTACTCCTTGCCCATTACAATTGAAACTTGTAGTCATACAAACATTGGCACAGCAGGAGCCTCTTCCTGTTTATTGTGCTTTGAACACCGTTCATGTATCGTTCAGCCCGGAAGCAACTCCCCAAGAGCTTTTGTAGAGCATGATGCTTTCATTTGTCATCTTATGGACAACGGGAAAGCTAGTCGTGGGAACGGTAGTAGATATACACCCAAGACTTACGAATTGTAGGCTACCATGATCGAGCAAGATCAATAGTCCGATTAATGTGTCGAATGACCCTCGATCAAAATTGCTTGCTGATTTGACTGTAAGATAGATGAGCTCTTGGTCTCATCTCACCCGCATACGACGGGCAAGACCATGTGATCTCTTGTGGGCTGTTCCAGCAGCATTACGAGTTTCACTATAACCGCTTGGAAACTGGCGTCGCACAGGCAATCGAATGATGGAAGAGAAAACCATTTCGCAGACGCAGGAGAAGGAGCAAATTCGATTTCCAATAGTAGGAATCAGCGCCATCTTCCCAAAACAGACGACCGAGTTTGACATCATCGCAAGGAAAGTTCCGCCCATTTAACTTGATTCGCAAAAGAAAAATGCCTGACTAGCTTGATAGATGGGACCGCTGTTCTGACCTTGAGAATAAGAAGAACACACGATCCTCACAGTTATTCTCAGACACTGTTCTCAAGGTATTTCACTGCCGAGCTCCCCTTTCTCTGGCATCAAAGTAGATCATGCCTCACAGTAATTAACCATATCAACCCTACTTTAGAGACCAGTTTCAGTAGATTACGCATCGTTAATGTGAACTAGTCAGCTCATTCACGTAGCTTCACTGGGTCTTAACAAACATTTCGCACTTTCTCATCTGACTCCTGACAAGGAGGGAATCAGGTTGATATCGCGAGAGAGAAGCCTCATGTGGCTGACAACGTCCCAGAGCCTAAAAGCGGGAAATCTTTTGGTACACATGTCATTTAAGGGTAAGTCAATTGGGCAATACTTTGCAGAAAAGGAGCACAGTCAGAATCATGTCTAACAATCGGCGATAACCAGTGGTAAACCAAGAACTCAGACAAGACTCAACATAAGAGGCGTCGGCGACAACGCCGTGGTATCTTGGATCGCCAGACCCGAGTTTCCAATCCAGTCAGAGGAAGAGGACACATGCTAAGTCCATGCCATAGGCTAGTGGACGAACAAGTTGAGGCCGCTCGAAATAGACGGTTCGAGAGCCACATCTCTCACCACTCTCTGGCTTAAATCAGTTCTTCGCAGACCGAAAATTCAGGTTTCCCAAGGACTGTAAACAATTCAGCCTCTGAGAGTCGAAAAACTCATGGAAGCCGATAGTTCAGAATGCCCCTTTTCAGAAGAGGGCCAAATACTCAGCTAGGATGACAAAACACTTATGCCATCTCACCGCCCCTCCTCATGCTCTCCGCGATATACGCACATATCTCGTGTAACAATCTCAACACTTTTCAATCGGCACCATTTCAGCAGATATACAGCCCCCAACTTGTCCCCTCTTTCTCGTTTGGAAGGTTCTCTACCTACGCCCCTCTCTAATTAGTCTCCCAAGAACCTCCTCCTTCTTGAGTCACCGACCCTGCGTGAATGGCTCGATATCAAACGAAACACAAGAACAACAACAGTTCGGATCTCATAAGTGCAGTGCCGAAGACATCAACAACATTCAGCGTCCCACCAGCCATCCGCTGTAAGGCTCTTCCCGGGAAAGCACCTAAATATGCGGAATCGATGCCCTTCAAGATCCCGAGATATCAAGTACCACACACAGAGAACCAAACGCGCAAGGCACCTGCTTCCACTGACCCTACCACCTTGGTCAAAATCGCAAATTCATCCAGTAAGAAGGGGACTGTCCACCATCACTAGGAAATACCCGGGATCAAGCCCCAATGCCAGCCTCCATCGGCTGGTCCTTGGCATCTACGTACTCGTCTACCCGCCAACAACAGCACGGACGGCGATGAAGCTGCTGGTATATACGTTCCAGTCTCAAACATGAATTCAGGAGAGGGATCTCGGAACGCGGCGGCAGACCATTCTCGACAACCGTTGTCGGGCAAAAAGGCTGCACGGAAGAAAGTTGACTTTGTGTGGATGAGACGAAAGGGGCCTGCCGTATGGTGTTTAGGTAGCAATCGCACTCCTACATACCTTACCCCCATGTATTCGTGTGACTGCATCGGTTGCCACGTACTTAAACTGAGAAACTGTGAACATCCCTGCAAGTGTCAGGACCTCTTCCCAACCACTTTAAACATTGCCAAAATGGATCACGTCTGCTGTATCAGAATATCGATGAATCCTACGAACTCTCCCGCTAGAAATAATCACCTTGAGGCTACTGAAGAAGACTATACCTTCTATATCTTTACAGCTTACAGGTTACTGACTTGAGATTCCTGATAACTAAGAAACCGGAACTCATGCCGAACACCACGATCTCAAAAGTCAAGTCACGCAGAAGTCTGGCGCCTACCATAAGGTAAATGTCATACAAGGCATTCCTTCTATCCAATGAATACCAAACCTACCAGCAACCTCATCACCATGACCATCGACTTGCCGGGTCCTGCCTCTCACCCATCCAAAAACATTAAACCTTTCGCTCTTACCTACTTCCAAAGTTCATCACCAAAAGCCAAGCCCCCAACGGCCCGTCGTCTCGGAGAGGGTACCTACAAACACTAATCCAGACCGGTGTTCCTCGACCGCACTCAACTGGCTGGACCTGCCGACATCTCTCGCGTTTGCCCCTTCAAAACCTTACACATCCGATCTCCAAACCCAGGCACATCCCAACCCCCCTCAGCAGAAAAGCAAAGCGTCAGGCGTCAAAATCGTCCAACGATGCGGGCCCTGGTATGCGGCAGGCAAGGGCGCAGGGTCACTTGGTTCGTCCCCCTACCCATACCTACCACATTCCCCAATATCATCGTTTGTGGCTGGGTCGAGGCATGTGGTGATGCTGATATTCTGCAGGGCCCACGCATACTCGCTGGCCATGCCACAGGTCAAAACGGCGGTAATGACGCCGAAAGGACCCAGAAGGAAAGAGAGCTCTACAAAAAGACCCCAAGGAACGGTATGAGAAAAAAAAGCTGAAAAGACAAAAAAAAGCCACCGAAACCTGCACCCGCAGAGCCAAAGGTCCAGCGACGACGCTAATGCCGAACTCAGATAAGTCAAAAGGAGTGGCGGCCCGTTGAATAAATAACCTTGACCTTACCTTACTTTTCTGTTGAACTGAGGAGGCCTCGCTAGAGTGTTCCCCCGAAAGCTTCACATGCTTTAAACCTCTTAGTATCCCCGCGCCGTATGTCTAGTCTCCTTGAGACATTTTTCTTCTTCTTCCGACTTTTTCAACCGCAGCAATGCAGCCATCTTTTCTGACCCGGTCCCAGCTTTTGGCACACAAGGACGGAAGCAGCGACGAAGCGATTGATCCATAATCTCGGGCCTTCTGCAGCCCGAAGGCAGCCACGAGGCCAAATAGTTGAATGGGAAAACCGCTTCCAAGCCATTGATTGGCACGCTATACGCCTGGACTCACTCGAGCTCGCGTGGTCCTCGACTTAAAAATCTCCACTTGGCCGCCTTGGCCTGCTTCTTCAAAAGCCACTCAGTTCGGCTTTGGGAAGGAAATTCGGCGGGCAGGTGGAAATGTAAATCATGCGAGAACGCCTTGCCGATTTCCTCGGGATAGTGAAGAAGGCCAAAAAGAGAAAAAGAGTGAAAAAAGAAGGAAAAAAAAGATCAGAAAAAGAAAGCATGTGAGAGATCGACAGCGGCTCAAATCCCACAGACACTCACCAGAAGACGATCGTTCCCCACGTTCCAGCCCCATCACCACCAGCCAGATCGCTTCCCCGCGGGGGATGAGGACCCCCGTTGCAACCGCCATCCAACTTCCCAATCGCACTCGGCCTCGATTCCCAATTCGTCCATCGCGAAAACTCTATCTCTCTCCCTCTCAGTCCCATGTAACCAACGCACATGTCAGAATGCTCTTGATGCTGGACAAATCTGGCCAAATGCCTGTGTGTCTTCCTTCAGTCGCTTCGGTCGCATCGCCTACACAAGCGCGGCTGCCTCATCGAAGACATGCATATGCCACATCGCCTTAGCCCCCATGGCACCGTTGGAAAACGAAGGTGTCCCATTTTACATCTGTCTGCCGCTTCGACCAACGTACCAAATAGGCCACACCGTGGCCAGCGAGTGTCCTGAGAAAGATAGGCTTCTTCTCCCATCAAAGGCGCTTCGTCATGTAGCAGTGCCTATTTAATGCGGCGGCCAGATCGTGGGCCCATTGTTGCATCGCGTATCTACCGGCATTCCAGTTTCTGCGCTGTTCTCTGCTCCGTGGCGACCAATGGTCGCAAGTAAAATGGTGTTGAGCCTGTCCATTGTGTCGTCCACGATGGTCATATCAGGTCGTGAGACCGTCAGCATGTGACTCCAAATACGAGCCACGAGACACGGTCTCTTGTCGCCTTATCTCGGCTCTTGTTTGAGATGTTCGCCAAGAACTGTATCGAGCTCACGATATTCCGCGAAACTTCGCTCGTTGCCTTGACTTTCGTGCCAACGGGTACGAGAGCAGAGGCACATGCGCCTCCGTTATTGCTCTCCACACTGTCAGGCCATCCATCTCACCAAGTTTGGCTATTGTCCCGCAGCGGGTGGACACTCGGAGGTCCCTAGAGCCTTTGATGCAAGAAATCCTGCATCATGTACGCCCGGGCCTTGCTTGACAATCTGGCTTCTCTTTGCAAGCTCCCAACGTACAGCCACGCACCCTCTTCTTCGTTGTCTGGAGACAGCAGCAAAGCAAGAGAGACCCCATCATTCGAGGTTCGACAACCACCAACCTCAGCACTCCACTCCCTCGGAGGTGGTGGGGGAGGGGTTGTGTGTGTCTGTGTGATACGCGCGCGTTCTCATCGGATGATAGGTTCACGCCGAGAGCTTGGGGGCTTGTTGAGACGCTGGGGCGTGGCTCCATCCACTCGGACGCACTCGCAGGGTCCTGTCAGTCGGACAGCCTGTTCTTCGTTTTGGTCGATTCTTCAGCATAACGACGTCGATTCCGCCCAGCTCGGCCAGGCCTCGGCCGGTCCTTAACGCCAGTCGTGTGGCCCCTCCAGGGTGTGTTTGTTTCAATAATCCCCATCCCCGTTCCCTGGCAGTGCAAAATTGACAGAGTTCCTGTTCATGACCCATTTGTTTGGCTTCAGTTAACCCCTCATGGTAAAAGAAATAAAAATAAGCGGCGGACGCCGCAGCCGCGATGGAAAACCTGCACCGGTCGGGATTATGGCTCGCTCGGACCGCGTTGAGAACATGGCGACAATGGCTACAATTATGACAATCGTTCTAGTTCTGCGATAACACTGTCCGTTATGCTCAAGCACTATCTGGAGTTGTACATAGATTGAGTCGCTGGCGAAACGGGCTCAAAACCATTCGGCCCCCATTTGCCAGCAGATGTTACAATGAAATATCAATTGTGGATATGGTTGTAGAATGGGTGTGCGGGCTCGGCATGGGTCTCCGGTTCATGACCAGTCTCTTGTATTGAGGCTCCCGTCGAGAGGGAAATAACCGTGAACCAACTCAATTGGTGTGGTTTTGCGTGGGGGCCGGAAAGCAAAGGTGACGGCATGCTTCAAGAAGTGGAATGAAATGCAATATTCAGCTTCCAGGGCCAGACTGTGTCGATTGCTGTCTCTGATTTTTGGCCATTTGCTGGTTTTGATAAGGTTAGTAAATTGATGACCAACTCAACAATTTCTGCACCGAAGCAGCAGTAGCTTGTAGCCGATTAACTGGTGGGGATCGGCTTCAAGCTGTCGCACGCTCGAGGGATGCAGGAATCTTGGTGTCGAATCTATCGACACTGCCTGGTGATTTCTGGGGCATTCCCTGGAATAGACCAGGAAAGGTACATGCCCAGTACCGCGCTTGTACCTCGAAGAGGCTGGTCTCGTAGGCCTGTTCATTGGTGGCATCGGTCCTGGGCATACCCTCCGTCAACGGGTCCTCCTCTTCTTCATCGTGAGCGTATGAATATAGCGTGTGGATATCCATGGCGCCTTTTTCTGCAGCTAGTGGCCAAGATGCTCGAATAGGCTGAACCAACGGGCCAAGACGTCCACCAGCAGCGCCGCTTGGCGCACTTCTTTCGGCTTTGACTTCTTTTGTACGTGATATCGCTTTTCCCAATGAGGAGGCTCATCACTTTTGCGTTTCGTGCGAAGACTCGTTGTCGCATTGCGCTCTCTGTTGCCCGGACAGACCTAGCAGCAATAGTAAAGCTCATTGGACAAGATCGGACGATCTCGCCATTAAAATTTGATATGGCATCGTGCAACTGGCATAGGACCCTTGCGGCGACATGAAATTCTTCAACGGCTCGCAAAGACCGAAGATCGCTTGTGTGGATCGAGGGATTGCTGATGACCTCTTGATGGTCGGATTGCCTCTGCCATTGTTGGTTCCGAGCCTCTTGAACCTGCATGATAGTGGGCGCTGAGGTTACAGCGAACCAAGAAGCGCGAGTGGGTTCCCCCTCCTGGGCCGGGATATTTTCGAGACGGAGCTCTGCCAATTCTCTAATGTTCTTGGTTGACGTGGCTTATGTTCTCCATAAGTCCGCGGTGGACACTGGACGATTGCATGGGTTCTGTCCTAGTGTAGGAGCCCCCCCTGGTCGCTGAAGAAGAGCTGGCCCGGTCGATGTCGTGATGGAATGATGCTATCTTGCGGGGTTGACTAGGCACGGAGTCGAAAGTCAACGAAACCCACCAGCAAGCCTCCATCCACCCCCTCCTCCGAACCAGGCCTCTCAAATCGACGCGAGGGCGGGAAGATCGTGAGCCTGTCCATCCGGGCTTGCGACGGACAAAGTTTGCGGAGAGCAGATTGCTGACAGGCAGGTGTGGTATAGTGCTGTGCACTACAGGCGCGAGACGCGGCCTGGATCGCACGAGGTGCTTCCCCGGCGGATCTCGGGCTGCGAGCATGAACGATTGCGATGCATGTTGATGTCAACCATGGTTGCGCAGCCGCAGATCCAGTGTCACAGGACGGGGCCTAGCAACGAAGACGGGGCACAAATCCTTTCTCAACGATGCCGTCCTTATTCCCGTGTCATTCGATGTCCTGGCCGCATGGAGTGTATCTGTAGCAAGAGAGCCTATAGTTTCTCAGAAATGATGACTTGTTGGGCACTTTTAAGCACGCCCGTACTTTGTTATAGTATCCGAAAGTCTCCGTCTACGTGTCGGCAAGACGGGATAGACGGGCGGCGCGAAGACGACGCTGACCCACTTGGCTAGATCGACTCCGCCGAGCTTCGGCCATGATCAGCCTCTATACTCTGGGAGCGCGGAGGATCGTGACGAGGGTCAGGGCTAGGGTTTTTTTGTCTCCAAGATGCCCGTACGGATCCGTACCCCGTTCGCATAATCCGTATCCGTGCTGACTGCGGCACTGCGATGAACTTGAAGCTCATGACCCGTATGACAATGGCGATTCATGCTCAGGTAATAGTGGCGCCCCTGGAGAGGTGACTTTCGGAATGTGGCTTCCTGATGCGGAACAGCTTCGAGTGGTATTGAGGCACAGAGATACTGTCAAGGTGAGATGAGGTGAGGCAAGGTGTGCTCAGTCGGGATCGTTGGTTGAGTTGGCGACATTTCTGTTTTAGGCTTTGACGACCGACCAGCCAGGGCCAGTAACATGGTAACGTCGTAAATGCAGAGCTTTGCTGCTCACCCTTGCTCGAGTCTGCCGCAGCTCAATTATGTACGGAGTAGTATCGTGTACTTTTCGAGTTTGCCATATCGTAAGGTAGGTATATTGCGACGGGCGGTCCAAATCCCGTGGGCTCGAACGGAGCAGAGCCTCCCCTCTGCTAAGAGGAATTTAGCGTGGGAGCGGCAAGAGTGATGGTTCCTCTGGATGCTAGAAAGGTCCAAAGACCGAGTTAGCGGCGGCGGAGGATGGCTGTGATGTGCACTGATGCTTGGTCCTAGTTGCGGAAACCGACGTGTCTATCCGTAGCCTTGTGGTATATCGTAGTCC